CGGCTCCGGTGCCGCCAGCCGCCCGCCCCGGCAGCGACCTTGCCCTTGGGGACGGGCGGGTAGGGGTACGAGTAGGAGTAGGGGGTGTACGCCGGATACATGTAACCGTCCAGCAGTTCGTCCCCTGGGGCAGCCATGGGTGCTGCTGCTGCTGCTGCCAGTGCCCAAGCGCCCTTGGCCTAAGACAGCCTCCCTGGCCCGCGCCAGACCACCCCGCGCCGCCGGTCGGTGTCCCAGCGTCTCCACGCACTCGGCCGTCGCGCGGCAAGCTCCCGTGAAGAAGCTCTCCACCCCGCGTGAGCAGCGCAGAGACCAGCAGAGGGCCTGGCACGGGGACTCACTGTCCCTGAAGTTCTGATTTATCATTGACCTCGTAAAGAGAACCATCATCGCCATCAGCTGTGCCAGGTGGGCCCAACACCCTGCCGGTCCCAGGTGTCAGTGCCGCCCGCCCTGGAGGGGAGGATTCTGGGTGAGTGAGCAGGAACCTGAAGACGAGGGGGGTTCCTTGGGGTCTATTAGCTATGATTTTAGGTTGTAGTGGCCCTGGGGCACACACACCCCCACCCTGACACACACACCCCTTCTCCCTTCCCCTGGGTAGCTTCACGGAGAACCAGGCTGTTTTGTCCCCTGGGGGACGTTTCTCCACCCCCACCTATCCAGATGGCCTCCAGGAAGTACAGCCAGTCAGTGATCATTAGAGCTCTTCTCCAGGGATACTAGCGCTAGAAATGTTCCCAGACTGTCCCACCAACAGATAAGCTGGTTTGGGGGATGGGGGATGTGGAGGGGTAACATACATGCGGAAAAGCCACCCTGGCCCTACTTGGAAAGAAAATGCTTTCTCCACATTTGGCGGTTCATTCCATCAAATAAATGAAGGCATAAATAGAATGTTTCTTTGACTTGATACAGGTTTGACATTAAGATACTGCACTCTGTTTCATTGTTTAATCGACCTGTTTGAGGATTTCTCAGATGACAGGTCAAATTTTGCTTTGTCAGCTATTATAAATTGAGCAGAATACACTTTTTATACAACTACATTAGACTCCAATATACTTTACAAATATAAGCGGTTTTTACTCAGATAATGCACCAAAATCCTACATTTCAGACACCCTGGGCACACAGGGCAAACAAACGGCGAAGACTAAAACATACAGGTAACTAGCTCAGACATCACTGTGATGGTTCCAGCTGCAGGGTATATAGTACAACACTGATTTGTAATTCGTGAAAATGCCTGGTTAATACAATGGGGAAGGTCATCATTTTTACATGGAAAATAATACCCTTTTTACCCTTGATGTAAACCTTATACAGTACCACAGCCCAGACATATGAAGTAATGTATCGGCCAGATAGATGCTCGGGTACACTTCCACATTCAGAGGGAAGTCTGAGTGGTCTCCATCATGATTAAAGTATCAGTGTTCACTGTGCCATAGGAAGTGTCTGCCATTTCCTCTTCTTTCAGTTTCTTGTAAGAAATGTCTGTATCTTCATCTTCATCTAAAGGATCTCGCTTGTGCAATATTTCACTCCCGTACATTTTATATATTAAAACAAAAATCCCTGCTTCGGCCGACTGGAAAAGAGCATAAAGCAAGGGAAACATGTACATGCTTCCAATGAACTGCGGAGGAAAGGCCAGTTTTAGAATGGCGGTGCAGAGCTGCACGTTCTGACTGCCCGTTTCCAGACACACAGTCCTCTTGCAGTTGGGTGGAAGGTGGAAGAGGGTGGCTAAGCCGTAGCCGGAGGCGTAGCCAGCTAAGGGCATAAAAATGGCGACCACATAAACAGCTGCAGGGATACTTGCCAGCAGTTCAGGTCCTAACATAGTGCCGGTCATTATGAAAAGGACCACCAGAGTCACTAGTAGAGACCACAGGGAAACCTAGCAACAGAAAAGGGACAGACAAGTCATCAAAAATCAGATTGTTCAGTGGGAAATGTGAAGAGACACATATGTTCTCAGAAGAAGAGATCTCCCATACAAAATGGAGATGTTTGCTCTTAAAATGTTTGAGGTGGTATTTCTGCTGTAGGGGATAAGGAGACCTAGTAGTGTAGTAGGCTTCATGTGGGGCTGTTAATCACCGGGTCAGCAGTTCAAACCTGCTAACCACTCTGTGGGAGAAAGAAGAGGCTTTCCACATCCATAAAGATTGACAGCCTCCCAAACCCACAGGAGCAGTCAGCTCCACCTGCCCACAGAATGGCTCTGAGTCAGAATGGGCTTGATGGCAGTGAGTTTGATTTGGGATTAGAGGTTATTTATACTACATATGTGCAATTAGCAGGAACCAAGCTATTCTAACTCAGAAGCCTTCCTATATTAAGTTTCAAAATGTGTATGCATTGAAAATATTGAAAAGAAATTATTTCTTAATTTGGCTACAGAGTGTCCTTTGAACTATAGCCAGCCACCGGGTTATGAACATGATCTGTTCCTAAGTATGTCTTTAAGTTGAATTTGTAGGTAAACTGGAACAGGTGCATTCACTTCTTATTTGGTCTTACTACAGTGGAAGAAGAGGAACCCTGGTGCATAGTGAGTTATGCGTTGGGCTGCTAGCCACAAAGCCAGTGGTTCGAAACCCTAGCCTCTCCAGAGGAGACCAATGTAATTATTATTTTCCTCTCTCATAAAGATATACAACCTCTGAAATCCACAAGGGCAATTCTCCTCCAGTGATGTCATGGGTGATGCATTGATCTGCTAATTGCAAGGCCAGCATTTCAAACAAATCCACCAGCTGCTCACTATGTGGAAGAAAAATTAGCATGTCTACTCCCGTAAAGATTTACAATCTCAGAAGCCCATTGGTTACTTCTGCTGTCCTAGAGGGTCATGAATGGTAGAAACACAGAGAGAGGAGTCACAGCCAGATTCCTCACCCAGCAGACCTGAGTGGACATAACAGGAGGAAAAGCACAGTTCAAATGGACTTCAATTCTCTTGTGGCACACAAGCCAGTTTCAAACAAACCAAGAGCTGAAATCAACTGGATGGTTGTTTCTTGCATTTTTAGGGCAAGAAAAAATGCTTCCAGCATCTTCAATGATCTAAAAGCTGCACATATAACAAGTGAAGGTGATTGAGATGGATTTATTGTGCGTAGGGGTAATTCAGGAACTTTGGTGCACAGTAGATTCAAGTTGGGCTAACTGCAAGGCCAGCAGTTCAGCACTACCAGCTGCTCCGCAGGAGAAAGATGAGGCTTTCTGTTCCGATTCTCTGAAACCCACAGGGGCAGATATACTCTGTTCTATAAGTAGCTATAAATCAGAATCACCTTGATGGCAGTGGTTTTTCTGTGGTGGTTGTTTGAGGACTTGGTTCGATTGTCTCAAGGGCAAATTTACATACTGTAAAAGGGCAAGTACCAGTTGTCTCTTAAGTCTGACGTTGGCAAACTGGAGATTGTCTGCATTTAAAATCATTTGGGTCAGCCCTGATACCATATATTAGTAATAATAGTATGCTGGTTAAGGAATAGGCCTAAGGATAAGTTCACCTTAAACTCAAACTCAGCCAAACTTACTGAATTTCATTTTAATGTATTCAGTTTTTAGCATGTAAGTAGCTCATTTGATTGACTTTCTCTTAGAATTCTTAAGATCTTATCAGAAATGCCATCACATTAATAATATCAGCTTAATGATTAAGTTTAATAAGTTCTTTAATACAAACCAAGACTGATTATTTACAGATACATATACATGTGTGGATATATATTGCATAAACATACTCATTGGTATATATATACTTATTGTCATCAAGTAAACTCAGACCCATAGCAACGTGCGTATGCTACCTGAGTGCCACAATCTGACTTTGTCCATTACTGCAGTCTTATTAGTATTCAGATTTATTCTTAGAAAATGAGTCAAACATTTCTAAACAAACATATCCCCTGGATTCTCAGAATCAGAGTTCTACTTTTGAAAATATGGTAATGTAGTTTTAAAATACTGCATAGCTGCCCTTGAAATAATTTTCTTTAACCTGCTTTGGCTTTTAGCAACGTACTGTTTGCTAAAGGGAAATATAATGCCATTTAGAAGCATTGCTATCTATCCCCCATTGCTGTGATTTTTTTCCTCCTCCAAAGTGCTGGTTGTTACGTTATTTTTAATTGAGCTGCGTCTTAATTAAATTTTGGAAATTCAAAAGGATAGCTCTATCTTTTCTGCGCAGACTTATTTTTAAAGTTTATCCATGTAAATGCTGCCAAGCACCTTCCTCCCTCCTCTCATTCCGTCCCAAACTGCTTAGTGTTGCAGCCTTGAACCAGAGGTTGGCGGGGGAGTGTTTCAGAGAGCCAGAGTGTATCAATGGAACTGTGCCCTTACCTTCACAATATAGTCAGCCACGCGGTTGTATTTGTAACGGATGAAGACGCCCAAGCCGATCGGGATGAGGGTGCTGCAGAGGGTCAGGGTCACTGCTCCCAGGGGGAGTAATTGCACCAGGGGCGTGTTGATCCAGGCGCGGCTGTAGATCCACAGACACAGAGGCATCAAAAGCAGGGCCAGCAGTGTGGAAGAGATGGTCATGATGATGCTGCAGAAAGAAGAAGGAGCAGAAAGCCCAATTGGCTTTGAGCCCAAGAACCTGGCAGCCCTTTCTCTTGACCAGTGGGTAGAGGGCAAAGGAGAAGGATGGGGGAGGACAGACTTCATCAGAAGCTAGTGCCAAAGCATCCGAAGCTAGTTTAGAGCCATCTAAACTCAACGAAAACAGCCAACAGGAAGGAGGAGAATCATTTTGTTTTTGTGACTGCGGCCGTAGCCTTTAAAATGCCTATTGAGCTGATTGGACCCTAGAGGATTCTCAGGGCAAGGAGCAATTTTCTTTCTGCACTGCTAGACGAGGCTGAAGCTGCTGAGTGCTACTTGTTGGAATGATGTTGTACTTGCTCTGTGATGAATTTCTTGCTTGGAGCAAATAGCCCTATTATGCGGCTCCCTTTCCGGTAAGCCCTAGCTTCAGGACACCCCCCTGCCCCCCATCCCCTTTGTCTTCCAGCCACAGCGGCCCAAGAGCCCGCCACCTAGAGAAAGAGGTGGATCAGAAGCAGGAGCGCCGACAGATCACGGGGGAATATCTAGACTTCAGCTTAGCCATTCCCTTTGCTCTCTTTGTCCGTGTCCCATGCCTGATTCCACCCACCTCTACCCCTGCTCACCCCCGTCTTGAACGCATGGCTGTGAGAGCGACTGGTTCGGATGAGAATGATGGCTGAGGAACAGAGAGATCCGTACCTGAGGTTCATGTCACCGTCGACCAGCAGAGACATAAGATTGGAGAGGTTGCCGCCGGGACAGCAGCCACACAGGAGCACCGCCACAGCGGCCACCTCGTCCAGCCTGAAGGCCAGGGCCAACAGGAAGGCCAGCAGCGGCAGGAAGCCGAACTGGCAGAGCGCGGCCAGCAGAGCGCCCACCGGCCGGCGGACGTGTGCCCCGAAGCGGTTCACGTCCACGGTGCAGCCCAAGCCGAGCATGGTGATGCACAGGGCGGCGCCCACGAACACGTTCAGCCCGTGGTTCAGGGACGTGTCCCAGAAAGGGGTGTCGTGAGAGGCCCAGAGCCTGGGGGAAAGGGACGGGCCCTGGCTCGCTGTGCTGCCTGCGAAGCTGTCGGTCGTCGGCTCCGGGCCCAGGGTAGGGCCGGGGCTGAAGCTGATGCTTGAACTTGGCCCGAGACTGAAGCTGGGGCTGGGGCCGGGGCCGGGGCTGGCGGCCGGCTCAGACTGAAAGTCCAGGCCGGGGCTCAGGCTGCTGGCATTGGGCGGCAGGGTGTAGTTGTCCGGCTGCAGAGAGAACGGCTCAAAGAACTGGGTTGCATTGTCGGTGCCGTCCATGGCGCTGTCCACGAAGCCGGAGCCCTGGTTCCTGCCGGTGCTAAGGATTGGAGTCCCCTCGTGTGGCACGGGCCGCTCTGATCCCTGCGTGCACACCCACGTCGGTCCGTGGGCACTGCTGGGCTGCCTCGCGGGCACCGTGCAGAGCCTGAGCGCACACTGCCGGCGTCCTCCGCGGGAGGCGTCGGGCTGGGCAGGTCGTCACTGGGCGTCCCCAACCCCGTCTTTCTGCGCCGCTTGCTGGCACGAAGCTAGCACAGCCCTGCGGTATGCCCAATCACCAGCGGACTCAGCTCGCCCTGGTGCGGGCAGGCTCCGCCCCTGGCCGAGGCCAGCGCCCGCCCGAGGGCCCCTCCTTTTAATCACCGCAAGTGGTTCTGCTAGAGTGTAGCCAGGGGCGAACAGAAGACGTGACAAAGGAGAAGACAAACCGAGCCTGGCTGCTTCCCAAGTTCTCTGAGGGGCTCTGCCTCGCTGATAATGAAATCTGGACGCTCAGACTCATAGAAGGAGGGGGGGTGGGGGTTGGGGTGGGGGGAGTGGGGGAAGAAGGAGTCTTTTCTGTACACTTGTCCATGCACACAGACAATGCAAACCGTTTGAACAGCCTGCAATCCTTGCGTATGAAGAGGGGCGCCTGATTTAATAGGACGGATTCTCTGAGTAGAAGACACAGTGTCTGGCTTTCATCTGCAAACCTGTTTTCACAATTGATATGTTCCACCGTTAAGTACAAACTCCTATTAGCACCCGGAGTGTCTGAACCCGAAAAGCTGGGCTTAGTGCTGTCTCTGTGAAAAATGTGTTTTTAAGAAGTTATCGGCAGGTGGGAAGGATATTTCAGTGGCTTTAGATTTATGAAGTTCTAGTGGGAGGCTTAAACGGACTGAAAAGAAAGTGTGGAGAGGCCCTGCTTCCGACAGGTTTATCCCTCCAAACAAACCCAATGCAGCCTTCTTAGGAATGGAGACCAAGGCTGGCCTTTGGTGATCTCCGTTACAATAGCCAGCCTAGGAAAGGCCTATGCAGCATACAGGTCTGGTCTAGGGGCGGGCACAGGGGCCTTTCCATCCTTTGTGTGCAGGGTGGCTGTGAGTCAACCCACGACAACAGGAGTGGAGGTTCAACAACGTGTCAGTCAGCACATACCTACACAAATGGAAGGAGCCTCTGCGGGGACAATGTGTGCGGTAGCCAAGCCACTGGGAGTGTCAGCTGGCCCTCACCTGCTGCAGTAACCATGGCCTGGTAGCAGCTTGCGTTGCTAAAGCCAGTGCTGGAAATTCTAGACTAAAGCTGAGGGTCAGCTCTAACCTAGGGTGATTCCCAAGCAGAATCCAGGTCCCTGAGTGAATTCTTCTCCTGCAGGAACTGCTGCCCAATCCACTTTGTGGATCCCAGACAGGATGGGATGACTTTCAGTTCCTAGGTGACCCCATGTTTTTACATTTCCTCCCTACACTGGCCTCTCGGACATGACAGAAAATCTGAAAACTGAGCCCCAAACCACAGTACATTGTGCACTGCAGTAATCAAGATGTAATTTATTTCTTCCCCACTAGACTAAACAGCCACGGGGGAAGTGATTTTCTAGTGTGCATCTAAGAGAATAGTGTAGACTTACACTCTTCACACTCTGCTGTTGATTGAAAGATAGGGGCATTGAGTCTACCCAGGAGCACCATGGAAGAGAAGCCTGGCTATCTCTTTCTGAAAAGTCAGCCCTTGAAACCCCTTGGAGCACATTTCTACTTGGACGCATGTGGGTCACATAAGTAAGTCAACTCAAGAGCAACTGCCACTGAGTACACTTGTCCCAAACATCAAACCCCAGAAATCCATACAGTAACACCCACAAAGCTTTGAAAGAAGTGGATTGTGACCAAAAATACTCTGTTTCTTTTGGGCAAAAGGAAACGGTCCAGCTATTCAGGAGGACACGGCACCCAAGTACCTGTGTTCAAGAAGTCCAGGAGCGACGTGGTGAAATCAGATCAGGAAGAGGACCGCTCAGCGTTTTGTTCTAGAAACCACTGGGGGAGATAAGCCAAGAGCACAACACGAGTGGCAGTGGATCTGGCCAAAGCCCAACTGAGCAGGCACCCCTGCTGTTTGCCTTCGCTTGGTTACATCATTTGCCTCAGAATGCCTCCTTGTGTTATGATAATAAAATCCATAATCAAATCAGCAGTAATTACAGGCAGATGAAGTCTTCCAACTAGCTCCTTAGGAGTCTGGGGAGGGCTTTGGGGGGTGATTTGTGCAGTGGATAAAGGATGAAAACAAAGGTAAGGGTGTGGATTGGAAATAAGCAGGATTGCACTACCTCTGTAATGTGGAGCCCTTTCTTAGCTCCTGCACACCAGTTGTTTCTCCTGCTGAAAAGGTAAGTCACTGTCCATGCGAAGAAGACAGGTGCACTTGCTGCCTGGCTTCTTACTGAGCTTCACGACCCAGGATTAGGACCACAGAGCTTATTCTCCAGGTGGGATGACAATCGTGAGTTGGCTTAGGTCCCTTAACTCCTCGATTGCCTTCCCCTTACTCTCCCTGCAGCCAAGGAGTGTCTCACCTCTTTGCAGTGGAGAAAAGTGCAGAGGGAGAGTGTTCAAAACAATATTCAAAATAGAATTCACGGATCGAATCCTCACCTGATTCAGGTTTCACCTTTTGACTATTTATTGGCAATGCTGCTGTTAGAAACATCAGTGTCCAAGTGTCAGTCGGTTTCACTCCTTGCTTTCAATTCTTTAGATATAGTTCCTGGAGTGCAAGGACTACGTGATGTGGTCATTCTAGGCTTACCGTTTGAGGAATCACCAAACTGTTTCCCATCGTTTTACATTCCAGTCAAAAAAAGCACAAGGGCTCTAATTCCTCCACATCCTTGCCAACAATTGTTATTTTTTTTGGTTATTATTATTTTAAAAAATAATAGCTACCCAGTGGGGGTGAAATAGCATCTCATTATGATTGTGATTTGCATTTCTCTAATGAGTACTGATGTTGAGTATCTTTTCAAGTGCTTAATGGCTATGCGCATCTCCTCTTTAGAGAAAAGTCTAATCAAGTCCTTTGCTCCTTATTAATTTTATATTCATTGATTTATTATTTTGAGTGTTACATCATTGGAATAATATAATATCTACTTCCATGTATTTAGCTATATATTTTTTTCTTTGTAAGAGAACATTTATCATAATCTTAAACAGGACTAGGAGAAAACCAACGATATATTATCCAGATGTGGTAAAAATGGTGTCTATGGGTTTGCTGATATACAGAACTTTAGAAAGGAGGCGGGAGGTCACACATGCATGGTTTACAGCAAATTGAAACTTCATTGTTGCAGGTGGAGTTACCAGCGTAGGAATGGGCCCATAATCGGGAAACGTTCATTGTGGTAAATAGAATAACTTGAAAGATTGGTATAGGGGCTCCCCAAGGCAGTGAGGGCATGACTCATGTCTGTGCGATTTCTGTATGGTGGTCTCTACCAATGACACACCCAGACAAGTCCTTAAAGGACACTGCCCTTCCCAGGCCTATGAGTGACTGGACGTCTTTTCCATTAGACTTTGTGTGAAGAGGAGATTATTCGTGTGCCAGGTCGACGTGAAGAGGTGACTCACATAGGGACTCTGCAGATGGGTTTTGGGCTTCTGCATTTCAGGTTCTCAGAATTTAAGTTCTAGTATCCTTTCCTCTTCTGAACATGGATTTCATTATTTGTCATCCTTGGATCACACAGACAGGTATGTATCTTTCATACAGACTTAACCTGACTCCTCACTTAGATGACTGCTTATTCTAAGAGAAGCTTTTGAGATGCCCTGGCTACCTTTCTGATAGCCAGGCACCATGTAATTTATTCACCATACTTTACTATAGCACCTGTATCTTCATGAGGGCAAATATTGAGCAGAGCTACATCCTGACAACTGATTATTTTTAGATTAGAGTTTATGATTAAGTACAAACTCAGAACCCATTCATATATGTAAGGCTGGTATAAATCCCTGGTCCATTTTATGGCAGCATTATCAGCTTTTTGAGAGATATTTTAAGTAACCCCCCATGGGACTTTTGGTAATTCTAATAATAGTATTAATCTAGCCAAAACCAAAGTCAAACTTACTATTACTTTTGAGCTACTTCTAACTCATAGCAACCCTATAGGACAGGGTAGAACTATCCCTGTTGGTTTCTGAGATTGTAAATCTGTACAGGAGAAAGCTTCATCTTTCTCCACAGAGTGACTGGTGGTTTCAAACTGCTGACCTTGTGGTTATCAGCCCTAAACATAATGATTACACCATAAGAGTTTACAATATTATTGAAATAGTAGAAATATTCATACATAGGAATGTTTTTAGACTGAAATATATGAATGTTCACATACATATTTTCAAAAAAACATAAATGAATCCTACTGAAGTAACAATGGGTAGACACAAAGCGCAGATTTCAATAACACTCATTCACTAAGGCAGAACACTGTCTGCAAAGCAAAGGCATACCACCCAAAGTTAAGAACATATGAATGGGGCAAATATATGGTGGTTTTAAGTTAACTAATATTGGGCAACCTCAATTGAATCCAAGTCACTGAATCAAAATCCAATGACTTCCAACTACACAACTTTGGGACAGCAGTCTTCTTCTCACACTAGGGTGTCTCAGTTTTAAGTCGAAAGGGGTGGGCCAGTTCCTTTAATCTGCAACAGGTATGTTTAAGGTTAAGCCTGGTTCACATAGTGGGTTTTCCAAATCAGATCTTTCTGATGTGGCCTATGGAGAATGCTTTACACCCCAGAAGGACAAAATCTGAAAGTCAGGTAGCCTGGGTGCTAAAGGGCTAAAAATAAAATTGGTCTAAATACATAACTCGCAATATAATGCTGGTCAGAGTCTCCCCTTGGGGGTCCATATAGCATTGTCAAGCATTTTCCCAAGGGCAATCCGTCCCCTTTCTTCCCCCCACACGCTTCTATCCACCAACATAAGTGAAACCACCTTCTTAGACACAGATACACCCTCTTCCCCTGGTCATACATCTCCACCAAAATTCGCTGAATACCAATGTAGGACTGCTCACCCAATTAGGGTGGCCATAGGACAGTGCCCC